CTGCACCACTATGTAATTTTGATTTTATTTTAAATGTAAATCATTTTTTCTATATCTTTATTTTCTCTTAAAATTTCTGACTGATGGGTCTTCCAGTTTTATCAAAACTACATAAAACAGTTTTGCCCATGAAAATGATTTTTGTTGCCTCACAATAAAGTGAAATGTAATTCTGCAGCTTTGCCTTATTTAATGGGCTCAGACTTGTTAATGTACAGGGTGAGTCATAAATCTCAGGACACCCTTTTATTCTAGAAAGTAAAGGGACCTTGACATATCTTAATACCCCTGCAGATAATGTATGAGGGAGCCTATCTTTTATGTTTTGTTCAGAACATGGCCGCCATCTTGGAAGCTGCGGTATTGGATGAAGGTCAAGTTTTTCCAAAGAAAGCTCCTCCTCATTTACGTGCTTAGGTTTTCAGATGTCGTTTTCCCTTTTTGTTTCTGAAATAAAAGGGTGTTTTGAGACTTTTGACTCACCCTAATCAAACCTTACTGTACGTGTTATGATAGCTGAAGCTGCCTGCACTCTTTTCTGTTTTAGCCATTGTGAATATTTGGGGTAAAAACTTTACAGTCAGACTGTTTTTAATCATTCTCATGGGCGAAAGAGTTGGAAACATGTTTTTCACTCATTTGAAAAAGGAATGCTTTATTCCACTGCTTAAAACAAATAGTTTCTTTGAGGTTATTTAAAGTTTCTCATTTTAAACTATGACTGGTCTTCTTGTAAGCTAAGATGCTCCATGTTATATGTATAACTTGAGTGGCTTTATGACGAACCCATTGGTGGCATTATTAACAGAACCAGAACTTGTTTATTTCACCTTAATTTTCTGCACGCTGACTTTTTCAAACCTCGTCTGGTTAAAGTCAAGTGAATGTCCTTTTTCTAAAAGATGACTACTGTAAAATGTTGAAATACTTTTTTCCCTTTAGACATCTCACTTATGTTTTGTAAATAAGTAATAAGGAACATAATGTAATAAGGTAATCACTAAATAAATAAACTTTAGATTTACTCATCTGAGTTTTGTCTGATTAAATAAAATAAGACCGATTCGTTCTCAGAGTATAAAACTTTAATAGGCACAATCTTTGAAAATGATCTAGAAACTTTTAAACATTTTCAGCAGTTTTGCACTTTTCTTACAGAACATTAAGTAATGATCTCAGTATTTAAAATACTTAATACTTACAGAGCAGATCAGAGTACATTCTAAA